CATATACAACTAACATGCTAAGTGAAATTTCCCAGCATCCGAAGCGTTCCAGGAGAGACTGCATTTCCTCCTTATCCTACTTTTTAGAGGATGTTTCTACCATTTGGAGAAAGAAGTTCCCAGTTCCAAGCAGTGTATATGTTAACTATTTATACCAAGCTCCCCCCACCTCGCTACATCCCTCCCCACTTCTCAGTAACATATAAATGCATAAAAGAACTTCAGCTTAAACTTCTGAGTGTTTTTAAGGTTCTCCTTACAGATTAGTAGGTCCAACTCTCATTCTTTCTACCTAGAGAAACACTAGAGTACAAAAGTTCTTTCAAAACAATTGAGACAGGACCCACATTTTGTGAAACAATTCCAAATTACACTGATGAGATGTAAAATTACTCTAACAGCCAGCGTTAGAAGTTTAACTACTTTTAACAAATTACCCAGGTCTCATTACTGAATTACTTATTGGAGATTAGACAGTCACATTGGAAACAGGTGTGGGATGGAATGTCTGTATCACCAGCTCCAAAATCCTGCAATTACACACAGTCATATAAGAAAGTCAGTTCCAGAGAACTATCCCCTGTAATTTTCCTGATTAGCAAAATATTTCAGCCGCTCCGAAACAAAAACATACAAACAACCCAAAACACTGAAACACACAACTACAATGAACTACCAGAGTTAAAATGAGGAAGACCAGAGTCATCACCAGCATCCTGATCCTCTGCAAGGAATTTGTTCAATAAAATGATTTAAAAGAAGTCTGTAAAGCATGCACCACACTGCAGGCAGAACAAGAGCTGCCACCCCATCACACACGCAGCCTCTGACAAACTGATGCACCCAGTGGAGGTTTAGACTAGACATCAGGAAGAACTTTATCACTGAAAGGGCTGTCAGACACTGGACCAGGCTGTCCAGGGAGGTGGTTGAGTCACCATCCCTGGATGTGCTTAAAAGGGGTCTACATGTGGTGCTTGTTGCTGGACTTGGGAGGGTAGGGTTAATAGTTGGACTCTGTGATCTTGAAAGTCTTTTCCAACCTAAGTGATTCTATGAAAGGCACAGTGGGAAGAATACCTCCCAACAACAAATCACGGCATTGCTTTCATCACAGTACAGCTACTTCATGCATTCAAATCTGCACCCAAAACAGCCAAATGCTGCTAGTACTGTGCAGAATGATCTTGCTCGACACAAGTTACAAGTGCAAATCAAGCATTAGGCACTACAAAAAACCCAAACCAAACGGTGACTCTGATAGAGCTACCATCTACATATTCATGGTCCACTGTGTGCACAGTTCTGCTTCACACCTCTCAGAGAGGATGAAATAGATGTGGAAAAGTTTCAAAGACAGCCAACCAGGATGATCAAAGTATTTGGGGTAAGTACCCATATAATTGTCACGATCTTGCACTCATATATGGTCAGAGTCAGGATGGATCTTTAGTGTAACACAGCACTGCTGCACTCACCATCTTATTTCCTCCAGTGCTTTAGTAGATGATGGAAGGAAAACCCCAAAACCTGAAACACTGAAATTATTTTTTCATACATGCCCTTTCCAGTTTTAATATTTTAAATAAGAATGTCTAGAGAAACTGAGTTTCTTGAGATCTATTTGAAATAAAGTGCACCCATAATTCACCCCATGCAAAACTAAAGGCAAAATCTTTTTAGCATTTCTATAGCTTTACTGTTCCACAACACTTTGCCCTCACATTATAAGCTATTCCATCATACAGATGGAATAACTGAGATAGATGTACTAAGTAATTGTTCCAAACTCCCCAAAGAGAAACAGCTATTATAAAATGAGCAGGTTTTTTGCTTCCAATTCTGTGCTCTGTCCAGTAGATTACAGCACTCTTTCAGAGATTACAAAATAAAAGGATAATGTATTCACACAATCTGCAGCATTCAAGGCAACTACTGAGTTCAATTCTGGTCAATACAACTCAGACTGAGCCACAGGGGGGTAAAGGTCCAAAGACAAACAAGTAGAATAAGAAATCTGGAAAAAAATCATTTGCATGAGCAGAAGCTGGAAAAGTGAGGGCTGCTCATCTTAATGGGAAGGTAGAAGACAGAACAGAAGTCTACAGATAATTAATAATGAAGCAAATTCCTTTTATCTCTTTCACATAAAGGATATTAAATGAAAAAAAAAGTATTTCTAAATGGTAACAGAGAATTTATAGACTATAAAAGTTAACCTGTGGCACACACTGGCAGATGATATTGGAGGCAAAGACCTAAACAAGGCTTAAGGAAAAATGCCTGAGACACGTAGAAGAACGATGGCAGCAATCCAAGCTCCATTACAGTGAATAAAAATACTGAATGAAAATAAACTCTTCTGCAGAAGGGTATGTGTCAGCCTCTGAGTGACAACACTTAAGAAGACTCTTCTCAAAGTTGTTTTCCAAAAGTTTGTTTTGTTCTTTTGTTTTGGTGAGTTTTTTTTTTGCATCTTCCTTCAAAGTCTTTGAAAACTGGCCACTGCTAGAAGAAACAGGACAGCCTCAGTGTTTGATTCAGTGCAGCAGCATTGTGAGGAGCACAAAACACAATTATTCCTAGCTTCCTACAGGGAAGGTACGTAGTTCTCAACATCAACAGTTGAAAACATCCTTCAAAAACAAATCTCTAAGTCTCCTACTGCTGAATTCCGTCACCATGCAGAAGCAGGGACAAAGCCAACCTGGGGTTATAGACAGGCACAGCATGGGAGAACCAGGGAGAATTCCTGACAGCCTGGTCATTCGAAGGAGAAATTTCAGCTTTCTACCTCCACACTGAGCCATCACATCCATTCACTCCCAGCCCAACACCTCCAAACTCCCAGTGAACACATTCCAAGTGTTCCATCCCCTCTGAAAACAGCAGAGAAAGCAAACTTCTATTTCAGAGCTCCTCCCCACCTCATACCCTTAATGATAGTTTTTTTTCTTATACAGACACACACAGATATATAAAAATATATCTGAGCCTGAGCTGGAAGGTTTTAGCACAGTGGAAGGAAAAATAAATAAATAAATGTCAAGGTCTGTGTGTATTCAACAAATAAAAGCAGAATTATATAAAAGCAACAGCTAATAAAAAAGATTGTTCTGTACTGTGTTTTCCATCTTTCCAACCATTATAGGAATAAAATTATCTACAGAGAAGATCGAAAACCTTTTTCAAAACTAATACAATTAAGCTTTATTACACTGTTTCAAGTACATTTCTCTCCTCTCCCTGCTAGCCCCCACCACCTCCCACTCCAGACTAATGGTTGGAGGCATTCTGCTATTTTACTACCAGCAAAATGCTAGTGTTTAAGGGTCAGAAACTATCTGGTGTTTCACAAGAGGAAAGAAAATCTGTCCTTTTTTTATCTACTTGCTTTTGTAGAGGTAAGAACAAGACAGCTTCTCTGCAGCTCTGCAGTTTGAATAGGACTGTGCACAGGCTGAGAAGATCCTGCAGTAAAATACCTACCAACTTGTTTAAAAAGTTATCCTGCAGCAAGGGACGTGGATCCAAAAAGGAAAACAGAAAATACAACAAAAGCCTCTGAAACAGGACAATGCAGCCTGGACACTAACTTCTCCCTATTCCACTGTCCATAAAGGACAGACACACATACACATTTTCCCTGTGGTTTCCACTTCATGAAACCAGATTCAGAGAGAAGAATATAATAGAAGCACACAGCATGAGACCAAGAAATTGCAAAAATTCCCTTTGCGTATGAACATATGGACAACTGTGATAATTAGAGCGATAGCTGCTAGATTGTTTGTAATTTCACTGAACAATCCCCATTATCTAGAAATAGAATTTAAAAATCTGAATGCAACACCGAGTGGTAGTTTTAATAGCTTATTTTTTAATGAACTGTATGGATTAAAGTGTGGCAAAATAGTATCAGGTGAAATTGCTCATGGGCATGTTTTACCATCAATGGCTTAAAGGAAAAAAAACAAAACAAAGAGCTGCATGGACAATCATGCAGTAGCAGGGAATGAGAAGTGGAAGAGACGCACCAGTAGCTTCCTACCATTCCTGTAATCTGCAGTTTTCCCATGTTCCATATTCACCACCATTCTACATGTTGGTAGTAAAGCTGATGGATTTCTCTCTCTTTACAATCCACCTTTTTCATTGTTTGCATTTCTTTTTAGTCACATAACACAAATACAAGTCAGATATATGCAACTCCCTGTCAGGAGGTCTAATTGCTTCGAATTGGAGAAGATTATTCTCCACATTTATGAAAAAATAAAGACTATTTATAACATTATTTCATTTACCAGGAAGTGAAAACACATTAGTTCATAAGGAGCAGCATGGCTGCTCCTATTTTTATGGCATCAATTTTTAAAAACTCATCATGGTAAACAATTAAACAGTGAAGCAAATCCTATGTTTAGGGGAGAGATTCAAATCCCTAAATGGATTTTCAAAGGTCATTTCAGGCTTAAAAGACGCTTGACAGTGTTTCTTTAAATCACGTTCATTTCCAAGGCTTATCCAGCAAGAAGCAGACAGTGCACTGCAGCACCACTCTTTGAACTATTGGGCTCCCCAGAGAAAAATTAATAATACAACTTTAACTCATATTTATACCAAGATTTATGGAGCTGTTGTGTTTTGGTTTATTGTTATTTTTTAATTTAGGAAAGGCTTTTTCACAAAAGGAATGAAAAATCAGGGCACTTTTTTCAATGTAACTTTCACCTAAACCCCATGGTGAAAAAGTTTGAATGACTAGAAATATTATTTTTTTTAATCAGTCAGTTAAAACCCCCTTATCTTTCAAATGGAAGTCACTCAAAAGATTTGCTTTGTACAGCTTTTCCATCACTTAGCTATGTAAGGGGGGCAGACAGATACTGGGAACTGACAGTTCCAGGTTTCAGCACAATGCTGCTTCTTTCTCTCCTCTTTGGATCCACATCTGATCTTATTAGTAAGCAGGGGCCACAAATAAGACAACTCAGCCTTACCTTCCTCTCAATACGGGCCAACTGCTCATTATAGAAGGCCTCTTGCCTCTTCAACTCTGCCTCCCTGCCTTGCAGCTCCACAATCTGGGAAGAACAACAAAAGAGCATCAGTAGAAGAAGAAATAAACAAGTGTGACTGCAAGGAAAGCCCATGGGATACAGACTGGAAGGAACTAAAAAAAAAAAATCATTGCTCAGGTCTGGTGTATGGGATCCCACTCAGTAGAACTACAAACCTTCAGTACTGATCTTCTTTTTGGATTATCCCCACAAGTTTTAAAGGCTCTTAATAGTATCATATTCAAACCCATAACCATGATTGTACTTCGCCTTATTAAGTGCAAAACTGTAATCATAGAAAAGTGACACTCTCCTATTGCCTTTTTCAGAATTCCACCTCGTCCATGCCTTTGTTTTTCACAAATCATGATGTTTATTACTCCAATTTAAGGTTCTTCACCTACCTTAAAAATAAACCTCAGATCCTCCACTTTATAAACACTTGCCCCTTGGAGTATCAGTAAAGTTTTCTAGAATTAACAGATGCCTAAAGTAATGACAAAGATCCAAATCCAAAGTTTATGTTGCAACACTTTTATAGGGAGACATCCCTCACTGGCAGGGATTTGCTTTTACAGACACACACACAGGACTCTGCTGATAATTAATACTCTCTCCACACACTCTCTGCACATACCCCACCAGCACCCCCAAAGTTACTCTGGCTGGTGCTGCAGACTTGGAGGGGAGGTGGGTGTCAGGGAATTTCTCTTCCATCTCCCAAAGCATGTGTGACACTTCCAAAACAGCAAAATTGTTACACAAGCATGTGCTTAAGCATAACCCAGTCATCAACTAAACAAAGGCCAATTGTGCTGTGACTGCAACAGCTTTTGCCTTTTAGCTCTTTACAACAAACAGCACTTCATTGTATTCCCACCCCTACACTGAACTAGCATTAGGGAAGCAGGGCATTGATGGACCCAACTAAACTTTTGAAGCTTAAAAGTAACAAGTAACAATAGCAAGAAGAATGGCACTTGTTTTTCTTCCCCCATCTCACCCCAAAATTTCCACGAAAATTATCACCATGCAAGAAGACCTTTCAAAAATACAATTATTAGTCTGCTTAACATGAACACACACCCTGCTAATCTACAACACCCCAGCAGCATTGCTCTTAACTTCCATAGATGATGGTACAATCACAGAAAATGCTGGTCTAATACGATTAAGCAGCTGGGACAAACATCCTCATGGGCTCAGACTTGTAATTTTATGACCAACAGCCATTGTTAACAAGAAAAATTACCTTTGAAAAACAGTTGCTGTGCACTGCCTTCTTTCTACTCCCCTGCTGATGGACACACAGTGGTATAATAGGGCTTAGACAAGATTTTAAGCTAGGTGGTGAGGGGCAGTTGATAAGTAAGCAAGAAAAGGAGTACATTAAATAGAGGGGTTGTGGTGCTGTGGCAGTGGTGTTTGTTTTTAAAGGAAAATGAAATATTTTGGTTCCCACATTTGTCAACCCAGCCAACAAGGTCAGGCTAAAGTACAAGCACTACAGGCTCCTACCTAAATCCCCTTGATCTAAAAAACACTTGATGACAGGCAAAATCTCTGGCTTTGGTTTAATCAAAGCTGCCATGTACCTTCCAGCCCACAAACCAGATGAAATGTGGATGATGTGGAGAAGGATGAGAATGAGCTGCCCCACACATGTAGTGTGACCAAAGAAATATCAGAACAACAACAGGGGTGCTGATGGGCACTCTCTAGGTGTAAAAATTGTTACCATTGCTATGCTAAGAAAACCAAAGTTATCCTCTAAACCAACACCCATCTTCGGTACAGAAAAGGAATAAGTAATTTCAACTGAAATGAAACAGATGTAAGAAGGCAGGGTGGTCTGATAGATGACCAAAGAACCCCAATTCTCCTGCTGATTTTCTACATAGCATCCATTAAATCAGGTTATTAAACACATTATTTGTATTCCTTAAGGAGAAAATAAATAAGGAATAGTAACATAGTACTGACCCCTCTGCACAATTCAGATGGAAGGTGTTTTTCATGTGAGGTGTATTTCAAGAAAAAGGAAATAGAGAGTCAAAAGGTCAACTCTTAAAAATGCAAGGAAGTTTGTTCTTAATCTAAATACATTAATACATGGCAGTGCTAGTCTCCTGGGGTAGCAGAGGATTCCAGGAGCACAAAACCAATATGTGTAATGATACTGGTGGGCAACAGGCTTTATTCTGTTTCTGGCAAGACATGGATATGACACCTCTAGAAAGCAACACAAACTAAACATCTGGACTCTCAAGTGGGACTCCGAGATGCAAACCCATTAGGAACATGCTGATCTGCATGATGATGATGGATGGACTCCCAAGCAGAGCTGACTGGAGCTGGGGTGCCCACAGTGAACAGTGCCTCCACACCAATACACTCTGCAGCAGACAGACATTCTGCTAGTGACTTCCCTAGGGTCCTGCAAAACTGACATCAAAGAATCAAAACCAGATCTTCCAACTGCAGACCACAACCTCAATACACACACCTTTCTTCCCCCTTAAGTAATTTCTCCCACACTACCTCCCATCATCTCCAATTTATCACCCATAAGTTGTATGATGAACCACAGAAAACTTTTACTCACAACTCCTACATATTTTCAATGCCTTTCTTGTTTTCAAGAGCTGCTGATGTTTCAGTGCATTGAAGTACACTGAGAAACATTCTATTTGTGACAGATCTGCTTGAAAGTCACTTTCTGTCTCGCTCTATCCCCAACTGCTTTTACTAGAAACGTTAGTATATTTTATGGTGATGTTTGAAGTATGAATGGGAACAGTCAGAGCATGTGTCAATTGAAAAATTCACTGTTCCAAACTGGGCTAGGCAACAAGGGACATTTTGTATGAATACAGGATATTTATTAGAGTTCCTCTAGTCCTGCTGCTTACTCCCTACCTGAAGTCAGAAGCTTGTGATGTCCCAGACAGAACTGGCTGCTATGGAAATGATTACATTTTCACAGTGGATTTGAGATTGCAGGTGCCAAACAAAGCATCAGATACATTTTTCACATAAAGGCTTTTAGAACTAAAGAAGGAAGGAGACGCAAAGACATGCATGATAACACACTGGCATTTCACATCACTGCTGCAGAAACTACATCTGAGTTTGAACATATCACACAAGAGATGACCAAAGCCCAGAGATGACATCTAAGAAACCATAGTACAGAACACAATAACATGTGATGTCCAAGAAGTATGAAGACAGAAACAAAACAGAGAGAGGGGGAGGAAGAGTGTAATTAGTTGTACAACACAAGAATGCAACCAAAACTTAGAAAAGTAGAATGGGACAGGAAATATTTGCAAAAAAAGATTGCATGCAATAGAAAATTGCCTTCTTCACAAAACCTAGGCATAAGATATATTCAGGAAATGCTCAAGAATTCCCTGTAATGTGTCAGAATTTACAAGCATTGCATCATTACAACAGGCCAGTGAAGCTATGATGCTAGTGTGCTATTAGAGTTTCCACATGCATAGAACTGGTTGGGGGCTCCTTCAAATTCTTCCTACATTTTATCTTTACACTTTTTTCCACAGCCTAAAGTTCTTCAGGTTCTCTCAGTGCTGCTCTGAACAGTAACAAAGAGCTAGGGCAGAGTCATGTGCAATTCCCTGCCTCCTCCTCCTCCCTTTATCAAGTAACCCATTTAGAAACACACTATGAAAGCACATTTCTAAAGCTATGCATTACATACCAGCTCAACTAAAGAATTCAAGCACTAGCCTGCCAGCTGACAGGCAGGCCAAAAGAAATATTTTAAAAGCCTCACAATTGAGGTAATTAAATATTATTGGTTCATTCCCTATGAACAAAGCCAGGCACTCTTAGACTCATCCTGAACTGACACCAACATGCAACACATCAGACTGCGCAACTGACCTTCTAGGGCTGAGTTTCACTCTAGCTACAGCCATTCACAGATTAGCTTTGGGTTTGCCCCCCATAAAATATCACCAGATTTTTGCTATTTTTAATCACCTTGTTAAATATGAAAATTCAAAAGGAAATCTGCTTGGATAAAAGGCACTTCTTGGCAGGGTCAGATTAAGCAGGGAACGTGGCACCCAGGGAATAAATGCAGCAATAGCACAGCCCACAGCTGATGGCTACCACTAGGCTGTCTCCCTCTGCAATGCTATTGGGATTCTGGGATTTAGTAAGAGGGAATGGAGAGGACTCTACAGGAGGAAAAAAAAAGCAAACAACAACAAAACAGCACACCTCTCACTGTAATAGGCAAATTGAGCTAGAAAGAAAGGTCTATCCCTCAATCTATTAAGAACGTCTTCAAAGACAAGTCACAACACTTAGCAAGTTTATTGCAAAAATATTTATCTTCTTGGCAAAACACATTCACCAGTCACAGATGAACAAGTGAGATGAGGCCTAGAGAATCAGTCAGAGGCAATCCAGGGAAAGTAGCTACAAGGATAAAGGAAAGGTCCTTAAGTCTCTATCAAACACCTTGTTTCTACATCATCCTGTCTTTGCTGAGAGGAATTACCAGCTTCCCCCAAAGGTATCTAGTAACACCCCTGCAACAGCACAGCAGTGATGTTTTGGGTGGGTAACTCATCTTGTCACACTTTACAACTCCAAATTCTTACACCTATGTCTCCTATGTCTCTTCCAGTCCTGGTAGCAGTCCAGGTGACAGGGAAGAAAAGCAACTACTATTAAAAGCTCCAAAACAAGAAGGAATTGACAGCAATGCACTGAAGAACAGAACTAGCTCCAAAACTAGCTAGCTGGCATGTTCCTGACCAAACCTAAAGGGAATGGCAGAGCTAAAAGGGCAACAGTGAAAAGGAAGAGGCAGCTTGAGCACATCAGGCCTGAGACTGAACAGCACACCTTTACAGAGAGGCTTGTACCAGACAAGTAACCATGGGGGAGACTTAACCTCCACTTGCATCAGCAGAAATATCCTCACCACTATGGAGCCACCTGCAATCACTATTTCAGACACGTGAGGCTTACAAAGTCACTTGTTTTTTGTCTTCTCTCTCATTTTGTTGAGGGCAGGTGACTGGGTTTTGTTTTGGCTTAGAACCCAGATGCAGACTCATGGCTTTAAAAAGCAGTACTTGTGTAACCTTCATTTCCTCCTGTTTCTGCTGCTCTCTTAGGCAACAATACACATCACCAGATCAAGTTTGGTTTCAGCAGCTGTAAGCTACACAAAAGGAACCAGTGAAAATCTTTATGGAGGAAATAATATGCAATTTTCTAGCTGAACACCTTTTAAAATGTAATGACAGAAAATAAAATCCTGCATCTGTGCTCAGCAATAACAATCTGTACACAAGCAGTAACAACATGACACTTGGAATAAGCAAGATCCAGACAAAAAAAGAGAGCTTACCCAGGCATCCAAATCTGCAGGCTTGGAATAAAGAGAGAGCAAGAGAGAAAGGAAGGGAAAGAGAGGCAAAAGAGAAATCAGTGATTTATGGAGGCTGCCTGCTGCTGCACAATATAGCTTTTAGGATGACAAGTTTAGAAAAGTTCCTTAAAAATGGCAAGCATCTTAAACAGCACAGTGCTGTCCCCTGTTGTTAGAGCAGAACAAAAGCACATGTATCCCAAAATAAACAACAAAGCAAAGCCTCCAGGGAATGCTGCAGGATCCCCCTGTAGGGTGGAAGCTCAGGGAAGACAGCTGTGAGGCAGCCTGTTTCAGGGAGTCACACAAGGTGCTGACAACGTTAGAGATGCTGATTTCCAAACCATGCACCAATGCAGGCAGCAGCGCCAGGAATACTCAAAAAGAGGTGGGCAATAGTTGCACTGTTTCCAAATTACCTGCAAAGGACAAGTATCCTTTCTCAAGAGTATTTTGGAATGTACAAGTTGACCTACATAGCAAGTTATCCTCCTGCGCTGGCCACTTTCAAGGAGTGCTTTCCAACAGAAAGCCAGCTGACTGAGCAGATTTCCAACCAGAGCCCCCTCCATAGGCAACTGAACACATCTTCAGTGCATAGACCAAACCTCTGCCAAAGCCAAGCTGCTTTCACCTGCTCCCTGTGTTGGCAAGCCTACTGAACTATGAAGACAAGCAGACCAAGCAAGCTGCAGTACCACCTCTTATTTACTTAATAAGACTTTTTAGCTACACAGTAGCCCAGCAGCAGCAAAGCAAGTACATGATAAACATTTCATGCCATAAACACCTTCTGAAGCCAAGACATTTATGAGGCAACCACAGTTCTTGCTTGTCGTCAAGAGCTGCAAAAGCCTTCTCTGCCTGTCAGGGCTACATTCAATCAGCAGCACATTTGCTAAGCAGGAAGCTCAGAAAGGTTGGCCTTTTTATTATGATTGTTTATTTGAGAGGAGTTGACAGGGCAGGAGGAACTTTCCTCTTGGTCATAGTTCAGTGCCAGAGGGAGCAGAAGATGGAGGGCAACATGTTTATAGGATCTGCCATCATTTTAATGGCACAGAGCAACTACTTCAGGTAACTGAGGGATGATGTCATCAGCTGTGTCATCCATCCCCATCCCTTGCAAAAGCTGAGAGGGATGGAACTGAACATCTACAGTTCAACTGGAGGAAGACAACTGCCCCTTTCCACAGACAGGTTTGCTGTAGCAGCACCACGGGCTTGGCTGAACAAACCAACACACAACAGGTGCTCACCCATAACCACTGACCTTGACAAAAGCCCGATTTGAATAACATTTTTCTTCCTGCTGACTTTGCACAGTCAGGACAGATGTGCTTAGTTTTGTTTTTACATTTCAGCAATGGCAAGGCTGTTCATCCTCAGCAGATGGACAGGAGAAACACAGGGCTCTTTATTGTGCATGTTATTATTTCAGCAGGTAGGTCATGCACACCAGTAGCTCTTTCCTGGATTTACACCTGTCATCCCTGGGATGCCTAAAGCCATTAACTGACACATTCCTGGAAGACAAACACTTGAATGACAAAATGAACACAAGCTACTAACTCAGTGGCACTGGACAGTTGCTGAGAAGAGAGGAAGGAGAAAGAACAGGCCCTATGACCCAGAGATGGTCCCTCATACACCCCTCTAAGATATAATGTCCCATAGCAGAATCAGTTTTAAGAAAGGTAACACTGTTGCTAACCACAGGGCTCCTCTTCTACAGGTACTGCCAAAGGCTTTAATTTTGTCACCTTTGAGGAAGGAGTCAAATTACTACTCCAAAAACAGACACACACTCCACTGGATGGACACAGAAAAATTGCAACAGATGTAGACGCAGTAGGACATACTGCTGCACTGTGAAAAAATAACTACATTTACAGTGAAGCACAGACTAAATACAATACAATAATAAAATAACACAAAAATTAAAACTCAAGAGGGCTACTGGTTTAAGTTTTGTTACCTCATCAGCCTGTGCCAGGATCTGTTTGTAGAGCTGCATTTACCAACACTTAATAGGAGACACAGCATATCCACTAATATTTTCAAACTTTCCTTAAACTCTTTAAGAAATGAGCAACATCTGGGTTCCTTGCTTCTTAACTGAGTGGTTTCGCTTCCAGTTCCCAGCTGGGGGCTTGCAAGTTTTATAATCCTTGCCCTGGGACAAACCATCTTTCAGCACCCTTGGTCAATACTGCTGTTCTCTTCTGCTCAAACATGGGTTAACTTCCCTTCCAGGTAGCCTACTGGGTAACAATCACAGGAAGCTGAATCAATACTGGACTTAGTCATTTGGGGTCAAAACCAAACCAAGATATTCCTTCTTGACTGTACCAGAGGCAAACATTATTGAAACAGGCCAAACCACCAAGCCCTGTCCTAGGTATTTATAAGAGGGAAAAAGACATTTGGAAAAGACTCTGGCTAGATATGGGAATTACATTGGTAATGCATCTGTGCTTCTGAGAACCTCGCATTTGAGCACCAATTCTTCAGGCAAGGAATGCTTGCCTACAAATATATCAACAGCTCAGCTTCAATTAAACAATAATGAATACAATGCCAAATTAGTATTTCACACATTACAGCATCTTTTCCCAAACCCATCCACCACATCACCCCTACACAATTGCCATAACAGGCACATCACTCATGTCTGTTACGGTCTGGGAGGAAGAAACCAGCAGAATAAAACAGTGGCCTTAGGAAGGATGATGCCTTTGTAACCTGACTGGAACCAGCTTCATCCTAGGTGTTCATTACCTTGCCATAGTCAGTAACTGTCATATAACTCTGTAGTGTGACCAGTGACTCAGGAATCCAGATTACCAGCTTGGTAGAGATTTCCTGCTTAAGAACTCAACACTATTTTTAGGGGCACTGCCAACTTTGGGAGTCAAAGATAAGAGTGGGAAATGTGAGAAATGAAAGGCAGCAGGTGTCCAAAACCCAAGACAGCTGCTGGCAACAACTTTTGCACTGATGTCAGTATCTGAAGAGCTCTGCAGCACATATTCTAAAATCTTGATGACCAGACTTCATCACTGAATGAGCAAAGAGTCATTCCTTCTTGAGGAGATAATCCAGCTCTAGACTTTTCCATGATTATAGGAATTAAAGCATTTAAAGAATATATCTAGACATTTGGTATCCACTCCAGAGCCTCAAATGTTTCCAGTTTAGTGGAAAAATGTAACAGTAGCAATATTAAATGTAATGAGAGAGAAATGTAACCAACTGACAAGGGGGAGAGAAAGGAGGAAGAGACATTGAACAGCAATCAATTTTGAGGAAAGGCTGTGATGAAACTACTCAACTCTAATGCACACAGAGCACACACAATTCTATAAACATGAAGATGGGAAGCAGCAGAAAAACCCTCTGCCCTTTTATGATTCAGGGACAACTGCACTTCTAATGCTTATGGCATCGCTGCAAATAGGTTTGCAATGCTGACAGTTGATAGTTTTCATTAAAAACAAAATAAGGAGAAAACTATTTTATAAAATCCAAAGTAACCCATCTGCTTTCATTGCTTGCTTTAATACTTCAGCCCCTTTTCCACATTCTCCTTTTCCCATCACCACTTCTATACATGCATACTTAAGGTTTTCATTTTGTAGGCTGCCAACAGACAAGGAATTCACTGCCTATAGAAATCCTGCTCAGCACAGGCTCTCTGCAGATGTATGCTCAAGATGCTTATTTCTAAAAGCAGGTGAGTGAACAATTCCCCCTAAATTTTTACCTCCTTGCTTAATTTCCTATTCTGCCTGTTATACAAGCGTCTCTAATCTCTGACCAATTCAAAAAAAAGTAAATCTGAAGAGAGGGCATAATGAAATTCTATACTAATTATGACTTTCTATCCCAGAACATATTTCAGACCCTACTGAGTCAATGAGGTATTTTCTCATAAAGCTAGAATCAAAGACCACTCAACTCTTGGATTATTTCTAGCTCATAATCATTAATACAGTCTCCCATTATGTTAGCCTAAGGGTGGCATATGGCTTTCTAGGGATAGGACAGACGGGGGAAATAACAGTTATGCATGCCTACATCCTAGTCTCATTTCTGTGCATGCATATGGGGACAGAGCTTTCTCTTGCCAGGTTCTTAAATACCAAATATATTAGCTTTCAAGTCAAACATAGTACTTCAAATACAACCACTGTTTTGCACAAAATCAACATGACATGCATAATCAAGCCACGTGCCTCCAAGCAGTAAAAATTATGAACCATGTGAGTTCAGAAGGAATTCCCTTCCCACATTTGCTCCCAGACACCACGTGCAATTTTTACCTGCCTTTTAACAAAACAGATATTTATAGGCACCAGCCAGTGGATACAGGTCTAGTATAGTACAGTGAATACAGAGTTCCTGCCAAAAGATTAGAAAATTTAATTTCTTTTTATTTAAAAAAAGATTTATCTCAAATACTACACAGTTTAAGATAAATACCTCAGGGATACTTTTTAATACAGACAAAGACTGTCTTAATTACATGCTTGAGTAAGAAAATTCTTGAAAGCCTTCAGTCATGATCATGTATCCCTATTTCATGAATCCTTCTGCAGGTGGAGAGTCAGGTGCACTTTCAAACTTCACTCTAAGTTTTTACTCACTTTAACAGGCTTGTAAACGTTCTTGTTCTCCCTGCTTTTTCATTCCAGGCACACCCAGAGCAGCTTCACCCAGCATTACAGGGTCAGTATCTGTCCCAGGGCAGAATCTAACCTAGCAGTTTGCCAGTTGTATGTGGGTAAGACAAATCAAGCAGATTTCAGAGAATCTTTACAGAAAGGACCACAAAAAGCACAGGGGACTCAAAATAAATGGTCTGGGCTAAAACACATACACAATGCTGCTTGTAGTAACGCATTACCTGTGGAGTAAAGCAGAGTCAAAATATGTAGAAAGATTAACCAGAGAAAGCCCAGGGGAGAAAAAACACAGAAATGAGGAACTTCACTGCA